AAGAACGTCTGAGGAACAGTAGCTGGTGGGGGGGCGGAATAAACAAGGGGAAATAGTTTTACTTTGTGTAATGACCCATCCACTCTCAGTCTCTATTCAAGCCTAAGTTAATTGTATCCAATTTGCAAATTAATTCCAATTCAGCAGTCTCTCGTTGGAGTCTGTTTTTGAATTTTTTTTGTTGAAGAATTGCAACTTTTAGGTCTGTAATCAAGTGACCAAAGAGATTGAAGTGTTCTCCAATTGGTTTTTGAATGTTATAATTCTTGATGTCTGATTTGTGTCCATTTATTCTTTTACGTAGAGACTGTCCAGTTTGACCAATGTACATAGCAGAGGGGCATTGCTGGCACATGATGGCATATATCACATTGGTAGATGTGCAGGTGAACGAGCCTCTGACAGTGTGGCTGATGTGATTAGGCCCTATGATAGTGTCCCCTGAATAGATATGTGGACACAGTTGGCAATGGGCTTTGTTGCAAGGATAGGTTCCTGGGTTAGTGGTTCTGTTGTGTGGTGTGTGGTTGCTGGTGAGTATTTGCTTCAGGCTGGGGAAGCTGTCTGTAAGCAAGGACTGGCCTGTCTCCCAAGATCTGTGAGAGTGATGGGTCGTCCTTCAGGATAGGTTGTAGATCCTTGATGATGCGTTGGAGAGGTTTTACTTGGGGGCTTAAGGTGATGGCTAGTGGTGTTCTGTTATTTTCTTTGTTGGGCCTGTCCTGTAGTAGGTGACTTCGGGGTACTCTTCTGGCTCTGTCAATCTTTTTCTTCACTTCAGCAGGTGGGTATTGTATTTGTAAGAATGCTTGATAGAGATCTTGTAGGTGTTTGTCTCTGTCTGAGGAGTTGAAGCAAATGCAGTTGTATCGTAGAGCTTGGCTGCAGACAATGGATCGTGTGGTGTGGTCTCGATGAAAGCTGGAGGCATGTAGGTAAGAATAGCGGTCAGTAGGAGACTGCTGAATTGGAATTAATTTGCAAACTGGATACAATGTCTAGACTGAACAAGAGGGTATGGAAAAACAACAAACTGACAGAACACACAAAGATCTGTGTCAGGTTTCAGAGTAACAGCCATGTTAGTCTGTATTTGCAAAAAGAAAAGGAGTACTTGTGGCACCTTAGAGACTAACAAATTTATTTGAGCATAAGCTTTCGTGAGCTACAGCTCACTTCATCTTTTTTTAAAGATCTGTGTGTATCATGCATGTGTTATTAGCACACTTTTATATGGGAGCAAGACATGGACCTTATACTCTCATCAGGAAAAGAGGCTCAACAGCTTTCATATGCATTGCCTTTGTCGAATCTTTGGAATCTTCTGGAGGGAAAGAGAGAGTCACCAACATTGAGGTGCTCAAACAGGCCGGCATACCCAGCATGCACACTCCCCAGACAAAGATGCCTCTGTTGGCTTGGGCATGTGTGCTGAATGAATGATGGGTGCATCCCAAAGGACATTCTCTACGGCAAATTGGCATCTGGAAAAAGACCCAAAGAATTCCCCAAATTGCATTTCAAGGATGTGTGCAAGTGAGACCTCAAAGAAATAGACATGGATGTGGACAAATGGGAAGATCACACTCAAGACCGCAGCCTTTGGAAACAAAAGTTTAATAAAGGTCTCCGGAGTTACGAGAGAAAGCAGTCCAGATTCGCAGAAGAGAAAAGAGCTCACAGAAGGCAGAGCCCAAAGGGTCAAAACATCACCTTTAAATATGACAGATGAGCCAGAGATTGGATTGTCTCTCTCAAGTGGGTCTCTTCAGCCACCCTCTTGGCTGCCATAAAACCAACTGAGTAAATTCTTTACCTCTCAGGGAGGCATACCCATGGTCTCTTGAGACTGAAGGATGCCTACTACTACGATCTGAATCTATGCAGTGTGGTGGTGAGAAATATCCAAGATCAAGGCCAACAAACACTTTAAGTGAACTGCTTGACATTAATAAAGATGGGAGGAGAAAATCCCCACATTTTTCTTTCTGCCCTGAGCAATTTAAACTTAATTCTATTCCTTCTAATGTCCTCTTCCTTCCATCCTCTTTCCTCTCCACAAAAAACGAAGAAAAACAACATTACGCATTCTATTTAATAATGTAAAAAACATGTATCGACCAGAGTCTGCCTTACTCATGCTAACTAGCACTTTCCTCCACAAGTATGAGAATATAAAGGAAACATGAGAAGAAAGCCAAAAAAGTAGTAAAACATTCATTCTAACAATGTTTTTTTCCCTGCTGAAGACAAAGGAAGAACTTGAGCACCAATTCATCTCATATAATGTCTTCAAACTGTACAAGGAACATGTGAGGAAAACACTTACAAAATAAGGCCCCAATTCTGCAGACTGCTCCATGAGCCACATTGACTTTGTTGGATTATATTAAAGAAGTTCTGTATTAAAATCACAAATGAGTTTGATTCCCCACAGTTTAAATTCCAGGGTATTACTAATTAAGAGGTCTCTTGGTTTTTGGTACTGTTTCTCTCCCTCTATGTGTGAAACTTGCAAGCTGCTAATTGCGTTAGTACATTCTAAGACAGAGTCTGTTCTCAAAGCAATTCACACAGAGAGAGACTCAAAGCAATACTCTGTAACAACAGAAACAGCACCCAGAGACTCCCCGCCCCTTTGTTGTATTAACAATTTTGGTTAAAATAGAGATAGAGGATGTATGTGGATGGATGCTTGGTGTGGATAATAACTGAATGATCAGGGAGGTACCAGCCTAAGAATCCAGTGTCCATCGGCTGAAGAAGGGGTCAAGTGGAAATAACCAGAGGACGCCCCGGAGGGCAGACTGGAATCCACCCAACAGCCTCAAGAATGGGAGAACCAAAGAACAAAATAACATCTAGCAGCACAGAGCCGTCAGGAATGTGCTATCTGCTGATTGATTCAGCAACAGCATGATGAAGCAATTCCCACAGACTGGCTTAGGAATAAATTCCTATAAAAATAGACTCTAGAAAGTGAGAACTTTGGAGGTCTGATTCTGCAAACCAACTTCCAGGAGCATCAGATGAGCACCTGACAAGGCCCTGCTCCCTCCTCATGTCCAGGCCACCTGGCCAGTGGCTTGGCATGAGCAACTCTAAGGCTGGTAACTATGATAACAACCTTGCAGAACCTGTGTGTGTGTGTATGTTTGTGTGAATGAATGTGTGAATAAATATGAGATTGAATGGAATGTTATAACTATAACTAACTGCTTACTATGATTCTTTCTGTATTTACAGTAAATGTGGTATTTTGCCTTTTTCCCTTTAATAAGATCCTGATGGTTTTTAATTTATTGGTATAACAACTTCAGCTGCAGTTTGCAGTATCATGCCCTCAGGCTTGGATCCTCAAAGATATTTAGGCCCCTCAATGGAAGTTATGAGCCTAAATATCTTTGAGGATGTGGGCCTAAATCCCAAAGTAAGTTACACAGGCCATCCTATCCCTTCCTTCTTTTCCATTCACTCCTTATCTTCTCCTTTTCCCATCCACTTTTATTTTTTCCTGTTCTTTATCCTGTCTTTTCATGTATCTATTGTACACTGTATGAGCAGTTGACAATTTTTTTTAAACTACTCTGGACTAAACCCTCATGCACTTCAAAGTAAGCAATGCTGGGCCCTGTTTGCACAGGACCTACTCCAAAGTAATGTTTAATGTTCTTGTGCTCCTGTTTGTTCTGCAGAAGGTAACTAGAAAACAGTATTGCCAGAACTGTGCACATGCCTAGTGTCAACATAATCACTGATTAAATTTGTGCACAAAATAGGGAAGAAAACAATGGAATCAGGTTGGCTTCTCTTCCATTAAAAACAAAGGAAAAAGTTCTGAGAGTGCCAAGTGGATCTGGACAAGATCACTCAAGATCAAGGTCAAATTCATCCTGGGTGTAACTGCAGAATGTAGCTCAGGACAGCTGGGATGAAATTGGACCATTTTATTTAAAAGCTTTTAACAACAGTAAAAAGTTCCATACTTCCAGTGCCCATTTACGATCATTTCATTTTGTAATAAGCAACAAAAAAACAATTATTTAGTGCTGATGCAATACATTAATTATGCGTTTGAATGCAAATACATATTGTATGCCCATCAAGCGTACTCACTTATTCAAACAACTACTACAGTAGTAGACTGAAATACTATACCTAGAAGGTGTTTGTTTAATTTAATGTCAGACTAAACTAAGGAAACTGAAAAGCTTAGTGGCACAGTCAGAGCTTTTGAAGGGATATTGTTTACAGGCATCTTCCTATTTGCATTGTGAGAAGATAAGGGTCCAGTCTGATCTAATCTGCTGACACTGTACAAATGCACAGGACAACGTGGTCCATATCCCAAAGAGGTTTACAATCTAATCTGTAGTATACTGATAATAAATCGTCCTTTTTTACCCCACCACCTTTAGGCACTTGGCAAACCTGGCCCTTCTTCTTACATTTGACAGGGCATTTATAATACTGAAATACTTCTGAGCTTTCTTATTTGTACCTCAGCGATGCCCAGAGACGCCAGGGGCTGATTCATTGTGGCAGAACCGCCCAAGCGAGTTTAGTTTTTCTGGGACGCGCCAGCACAGACGAGCGCGGGGGGCTGCAGCGCCCTCCCTGTGGCGGGGGAAAGGGAACGCGAGGGCCCCACGCAGCTCCGCCGACTGGGCACGGCGCCCTCGGACGCTTTCAACCGTCTTCTGTTTCACAGCCCCGTCCATCGCTTGTCGGGGAGGCGCCTTTGCAATCCACCCCCAGCCCTGGACTAAGGGAAGGCTCTGCCCGGCCCCACACCCCGAGCCCCGCAGTCAGCCTCCCCGCTCTCCCGGACCCGCGGGGCACCAGGGCAGACCCGGCACGGGGGTTGGCGGCGGCCCGAGGAGGCTGTCGCTGCCCGGAGCGCAGAGAGCCGGGCGCGCCCCCCCACGGCCCGGCCCGGCCCCGTCGCGGGAGCTCCCGGGCCGCACGCGCCGGCGGAGCCAGGCAGGGGCTTCCCAGGCGGGCGCCGCACGACCCGGCGCCATTGTCCCGGGCGGGTGAGGTCACAGAGGGCCCCGCGTTCTGTGCCGCGCCGTGTCCTGGACACCGAGCCCCGCCGCGGGGCAGGGAGGTCGGAGGCGCCGCGGTGAGCATGGTGCGGGCCAGAGGGGCTGCGGCTCCCGCCTTCCTCCTCCTCCTCCTCCTCCGCTCCCTGTGCGGGGGCGACACGCAGGCGGGCCCCCGGAGGGAGCCTGGCCCAGGTAGGGAGCCGCCCCTGGCCCCGCGTGGGCTCCTCAGCCCCTCGGGGAGCCCACCCTGGGCACCGCAAGACACTGAGCTGCCGCCCCACCAGTGCAGCCTGGGGGGGCTGAGCCTGGCTGGGAGCAGCTCCCCCCAGCGGCTGCGCCCTGCAAGGCCCGGCTTTCCACGGCAGCTGCCCCTGGAGGCAGGCTGGCCTGGCACTCAGCGCGCCCCCCGACCACAGGTGCTGATAGGCCCCTTGCCAGGGCTGCGGCTGCTGCTCCTCCGCCCTCAGGGCTTCACCTCCAGCTCAGCACAGGCTGGGGGCAGAGGATGCAGTGGGTTCACTTGATACAGACTGGGCGAGTGGCTAATGGAGTCCCCTCAGGTGGGCAGAGTGTTGAGACTCCCCTCTCATCTTGGGGGATCCTCTCCTTAAAGAGAGAGCAAGGCCGGGCATGGAAGCGTGAAGAAGCAAACTCTGAGTGGGCCTGTAAATTGGGCGGGGCAGGGACTGTTTCCTCCAGGGATTTTGTGCAGCCTCCAGCCCAATAAAAAGGTCTGGGTGGTGGCCCCTGGCTTCTAGTGTAATACAGGCATGGCTACACTGCGAGGTGTGATTGCAGTATGTGTAGATACCAGAGTTAGCTTTAATCTAGCTAGCTCAGGTAACAGTAGCAGTGAAGCTTCAGCAGCACAGATGTCAGCACAGGTTAGCTTTCCGGAGTACGTTTCCAGGGGGGTTTGTACAGCCCCTGCTGAGGCAGCTTTGTTGATGTTGGTTCCCTGGGGTAGTTAAATTAATGCTAGCTCAGGTATGTCTACACAGGCTGCAGTCACACATCCTGACCGCAGTGTAGACATACCCACGATAACAACAACAGGCAAGACATTCGTGTTTTGTTTATCCTAGCAGCTCTTTATGGGAGAAACCCTGCCTAAATAGAAACCCTGATCAAACTCTAGTAATATTCCAGGGGTGTTCTACAAGTGTTCACACAGTACACTACTAAAATAAAATTGTACAGTTTTTGTAGTTCTCTCAAAAAATGTAAAATTTACTTCCCAACAAGATTTTTCCTGCTGTTCTTTTCCACTGATACTTCCAAACTATTCAATGTGATTATTCATTATTTACTCTCTGATACCAGTTTCTTCAAAAAGTTTTATTTGAATAGTCTAGAAGGAAAGAGGAAATCTAGTCCTCTGGAAGTTGTGTGCAATATCAAAAGAGTACAAATATTGGAAATTAAGTGATTTATTACAGTAATTCACTGGCAGTGAATAGTATATTTCAAGTATAAGGTCTGCCAATAAATAATGGCAGCAGGAAAAGTAATAAAGTAACTGCATTCCGTAATGCACTGTTAAATACCATATAGTTATTGTAAAAATATAAATATTTTCCTGCATATGCTTGCTGACTGCTTTGCACAATATCTCTATTATAATTATGGGGCAGACACAAAGTGAAAAGAATATTTTTAACAAGGGCTCATATGATGCAGCTGTATCCATTCTTAATCATTCATTAATGTCTCATCAAAAGAGTACTGTACTTTTTGTTTGTTTCATTTACCAAAGGTCAGCATACTTGGAAGCAATTGTCATACACCATTACAGACCTTTTTACATATTTTTCTGGTATTGTTCTAAGCCATCATGTGCGTAAATGAGTCAATTGGTATGCAGATTGTCTATCATTAAAACCATTTCAAAATCAGCTTTGTCACTGGTTTAGAGTTGGAACTTTAGATTCTTGCATATACTTCTTGAATATATTGTGGTGTTCATAATGGGTATGGTAGGTGGTTATGTCAAACTCTTAAGGGCCCAGTATTTTCAGTGGGAGTTTTGCTTGAGTAATATAGCCTTTATAATATAGATGAGATTACCAATGGTACTTTAAACTGCAGTAACCTGTGCCAAAGGTTCATGCTCCCTGAGGCTACAGTATCAGAAATAGCAGGGTCAGAATCACTATTAGAAATATCATTAGGTTTGGAGACTCTAGGAGCATAGGAGGAACAATAGCAATGAGCACGACATTCTCAAGTTATCAATTGTCCTTTTATTAAGAATTTCGTTAAGCACATGAACAAAACCACAATTACTGGAGGCATAACGCAGAGATAGAAATAAACCACAAAAGATCTAACATCAAAGATTTTATACTCACATCCCCAAGGGTAGCACCATAGAGATGAGTATGTCTCAGCAGGTGGTCATTTGCGGAGGATCTCCTTCCTGTTAGATTCTTCCTCCTTTATTCATGTTGGGGAACCCCTTTTCTTTTGCGTTTCAGTCATAACCCCTATGCATATACATGAGGGTTCCAACCCCTTTCCCCTTATCTGGACTTCCACACCCCATTAATGTTGTGGTGCTTCCTTTTCATAGACTATCCTCTTAGCTCTCCTTATCTTCATTAACATTTATATCAACATGTCCCAGTGGTAACTTGCTGTCATGGCAGTTTCCCATGATGTTACAATCAGGCATCTTGCGGTAGTGATGGGCACATTGTGACGTATTTTCTTGAACATCACCCATTAATACATCTTTTACGATAATCTTACAACTTTACTGGTACAGGGTTACCCTTGGGTCTGTAGTCATGTCAGCTTCTTTCGGGCCTAAAGCTTGATATGGCTAAGCTAAAATTTGACAGGCGTCAGCCTGTAGGCCATGCTTTATTTACAGCTTTTCCTTACTTATATACCTAACAAATTTTTACTAATAATATATGCTTATTAATCCTATACTGCTATAATACTATCCTGCATATTCCTACACTTCTACATACAACTTAAAATTGTTCATCACACATTGGTTACATATGAATTAACCACAACAACAGATAACACAATTATATAAGATGTTTAGCTACAGTAAAGCCTGCAGGATTAAATATGCACAACTTTCCTTTTCTGGCCTGATAGCTCTATAAACTTTATGTATGCAAATATCAATGAGTATTTACAGGGAACTGATGAAAGATATTCTGTAACTGTAGTAAAAGGGAGTTATATTGTGTTCTGAGAAATAATGTGGAAAGTAATTTATTTATGGAGATATCTCATCACTACTGCCTTTGGAATTCTTAGATTGTTTAAATAATAAAGCAATGGAAATGGCCGCTGCCCCTCAGTTTGCCAGAGCTGTTGCTTTTGGCGCAGAGAAGCACCACAGCATTCCCACTGGATTGAGCACCTGCTAACACAAGGGATTATGCAGCTGTCACATTGGCTTCATTGAAGGAGCCGACCCTTATTACTTGGTGTAATAGATACCATGGCAAGAGTTTTAGTATGACTAGTTATATTTTGGAAATAAAATCTTAAATATATTTATGATTTATATAATAGATTCTTATTGTAAAGTGTTTCATTTTCAGATGCACATGTTCCAGTCCTTTCCAAAAATAAAATTAAATCAATGATTAAGTTACTCAGTAAGTAGCATTTCTTTTATCTTAATTTACAATATTTATTAATTACTGTGTGCATGCAGTCTAGAACGTTATGTCTTATGTTATGCTTAAACTATAAATCCATCACAGAAGAGCACTCAGCGAAAGATTTCAACGATGACGTAAAAATGGGTCAAGACAATCCACAAAATAAAATATCCGTAATAGATCTGGCAACAGTTTAAAAGTGTTTTTAATAATTTTGCTGCTTCATAGAATCATAGAATATAAGGGTTGGAAGGGACCCCAGAAGGTCATCTAGTCCAACCCCCTGCTCGAAGCAGGACCAATTCCCAGTTAAATCATCCCAGCCAGGGCTTTGTCAAGCCTGACCTTAAAAACCTCTAAGGAAGGAGATTCTACCACCTCCCTAGGTAACACATTCCAGTGTTTCACCACCCTCTTAGTGAAAAAGTTTTTCCTAATATCTAATCTAAACCTCCCCCACTGCAGCTTGAGACCATTACTCCTCGTTCTGTCATCTGCTACCATTGAGAACAGTCTAGAGCCATCCTCTTTGGAACCCCCTTTCAGGTAGTTGAAAGCAGCTATCAAATCCCCCCTCATTCTTCTCTTCTGCAGGCTAAACAATCCCAGCTCCCTCAGCCTCTCCTCATAACTCATGTGTTCCAGACCCCTAATCATTTTTGTTGCCCTTCGCTGGACTTCTTGTAATGCTTCTTGTAATGTCGAGCACATCCACAACATAGATGAAAGGTGTAATTCCGGCTCAGGTATATGTACACCACTAGCTCTGCTCAAGCTAGTGCACTGAAAACAGCTGTGTGGCCACAGCAGCTCAGGTTAGCTGCCCGAGTATATATGTATGATCTCAGCCATGGCTGTACTTGGGTGGTGAGCCCGAGCTGCCACCCATGCCACTGCAGTCATACTACTGTTTTCATTGTGCTAGCTCACGTACATGCCTGCCCAAGCTGGAAATTACACCTCTCTGCCACAGAGTAGACAAACCTACTATTCGTAGTTCTTTTATTTCCCTGTTGTTATTTTTCCCTTAGACTTCATCTCTCTTCAGAGACTGCTTTCGTTTACAATCTGAATATGAAACAGGCTCTGAGATTTTTGTACTGAAGAACTAAGTGTTTTAGAAAACCACTTTGGCTTTTCTTTACCCATGCAGAAAGGACAGCAGGGGGATATTTTAGCTCAGAGGCTGTCTAAATAGAGTACGGAATGCATTAATGCTTGTTATAAAGAAGTTGGTGTCCAAATACCAAAAAGGCAAAAGGTCTCAAGACCACTGGGCTCACTACCAAACAGACAGACAGATCACAGCAGTTTCTAAAATTCTCAATTGGAGCTCTTTGCATACCTCCACCCAATATAATTGTATAGATTCAAGGCCTAGCTCAGATGCCCACTTTGGGAAAATGCTTCTTCAGTCCCTCTTCCATTTTCCTATCATCTTCAGACTGAAAGTGTGTGTCATACCAGATGTTAGCTTCATCTGTGGGAGTAATTTTATGAAGGAGAAAACTAAAGTTACTCACTTAACAATAGCTGGAGTTTGATGAAAATCTTAATGTCACAGATTCACACTGTGCCTCCTTTCACCCTGTCACAGTTCCCAGGTAACAGCACCTCTGACCCCTCCTTGTCTCTTCGAACATTCCAACCTCTCAGGCCACCCTGCCTGGGGTGGAACCACACAGTTCTCTCACTCTCAAGCTGGGCCCTGGATGACAGTTCCCTGGTACTAATCATGGTTGACTCAGCAGGTCTGACTTACTGCCTGCAGTTCTGTTCCCTCTGGAAGCAATGACAATGGTAATTAGAGACCAAACAGCCTTCTTCAAGCAAAGTATTAGTTATTAGAACAAAGGCAATTCAGAGAAAATACACCTTAAAAACAATAAACCAGCTTATATGCATGCCTGCTTTTTCCTAAGGTTTATCATTCCCTGCATCTGGAAAGGCCCAGCTCCTTCAGACGGTGCTACAGAGCCTGTGCTCTGGTCTACACTACAAACTTATGTCTGTATAACTACGTCAGTCAGGGGTGTGGAAAATCCATTACCCTGTGCAATGCAGTTATACCGACCAAACCCCTGGCATAGACAGCATTATGCTGACAAGAGGGCTTCTCCTGTCCATATAGCTACTAGAGGCAGAGTACCTACACCAACGGGAGAAGTTCTCCCATCAGCATAGGTAGCATCTTCACTAAGTGCTACAGCCGTGCAGTGGTGTAAGTGTAGACAAGTCTTGTCAGCATGTCTCCCTGTCAGAGCTCACTGACAACTGGCTCTCCTCCTTCTCCTGAAAAGTGCTTTTTAGCTGTTTACTGTCTAGTACCTAGCCTGGGGCTGGAAGTATACCATTGTCTTGTAATTGGCACCCTAAACCGGTTGTTCTCAACCAGGGGTACGCAGAGGTCTTCCAGGTGGTACATCAACACATCTAGATCAGTGTTACTCAACCTTGGGGTTGTGATTCTGGGGGGAAGGTCATGGGATGGGTTTAGGGGGGTTGCAAGTGCAGTGCCAGAATTGGGGAGTGGCAAGCAGGGCAATTGACTGGGGCCCCATGCCACGGGGGGCCCCACAAAACTAAGTTACTGCTTCAGGCCTGGGCAGCAGGGTTGGGCTTTAGCCCTGGGTGGCGGGGCTCAGGCTTCAGCCCTGGGTGGCGGGGCTCAGGCTTCAGTAGTCTGGAAAGGTTGAGAACTCACAGCCCTAAATGTTTGGTCAGAGGTTGCTTATCCAGGAAGCCATTGTGTTCTCTTCCTGTTTTTACCTCCCACAGCCCCTATTACACTAGATGAATACATTTATACAGGAAAAAATTGTTACATCTCAGTATTTCCAGACTCATGCACAGCAACTCTGACAGTATTCATAAGATTATTACACATCAGCTCTACTTCTGTCATATATCCCAATTTGGAGTCTCCCTATTATGACTGGTTGATAGGAACTACAAGGATTGAGCTGTAGTAACTCGTTTACAGACACAGTCTCAATGTGATTATACATCTGGGGTGTGCTTATTCTGTGTGTATGGTGCACAGCTCCAAGAGTTCAGTTCTGTAGAGGCAATAATTGCAGGAAACTAGTACCCAGTTAATGAGATACATTAGTTTTTCACCTCAATTTACATTTCATTTTGTAAGGTTACTCTTGACGTAAGGATTTTATACTCACGTTCTCGGTTTCTTTAAAGTCCTTGATAATCCACACCTTCCTCTCATGTACATTGTTTCTCTTATTAAATCCTTTTATATAAAAGTTTTGGGGTTGTTTATTTTTCTTCTCTCCTTCTGGATTAGAGATATATTTCATTGCTAAAAATTAGAAGGAATATTTTATGGTCAGTAATTCTCATTTACAATTTACTATAGTATTTGACACTTTCAAAACAGTTTAAAATACTGTAAATATTTTCTCTCTTTCTTTCGCCTTTTCACAAGTAGTCATTCACCTATTTTATTTTAGATCATCGGATCCAAGTTCTGCACCAGAAGCATATGATGCATGAACATAAACTTTCAGAAAAACAAGATGAAGTGTTAAGCACACCTGTGAATATGACAGACATAAAAGGCAAGTATTCCCAGTTTTTAAATTTCTTATCTATCCTCTTCCGATAAAATTCATCCCTGTGCAGAGGGCCAGCACAAAGTCTGTGCATTACTTCAACTTTGGCACCAGCCTTGTGCTAGCCATCTGAATTTCATACATACAGAATTATGATTTTAATATGTACAATTATATAGTTTCAGGGCCATCTGTAAAAACACAGTTATTACCAAATGGAGTGCAGATTGATGTGCAAGAGATGCTATCTTCTAACAGCGTGACAACAGAAGCAGCTCAGGTATCTAACACTTCTTCAATGCTGATTATTAACAAGCTGCAGAAGATTTTCCCAAATATACTTTTGGACACTCGGACAAAATATAAGAAAGTGGATAATGAAAAAAAAGAAGAGGGTAAAAAGAAAAGGATGTTGTTTCCTGATTTGGAGCAAGATAAAAATACTGGTAATAACAAAGACAGATTAACAAGAACTAATATTACTATAAGATTCCATTCCAATGATAATTCAAGCCAAACTCAGATTGATATTTACAATTTAAAAAATTCAAGAGTGAATCCTGAGGTGCATATTGTCGCCAGCAATATTATTGACCAACAAAATAAAATAAATTCAGTAGTAGTACAAGATGATGTTTTGCAAGTGACCGTAAACAGTTCACTGGATAAGAAAATACAGAATAATAAAAAAGTAAGAGGAAAAAGTCTTGCAAAAATTGAGGCTGGAAATGTGGAAAGAAACTCCACAGGTAGCAACAGGAAAAAACTTCTTATAGCAGGTATGAAATTCTTTTCTCTTTTCAATAAAACATTAATTCCCTATGAAAAGCTATATCTACACTGTTGCAAAGTAAAATGATTTTTACTATTATATTATTTAAAGACAGATTGTAAACTCCTTACTCACACTGGTGAGTAATTACTCAGATGTAGTCTCATTGATTTTAATGGGACTACTCGTGAGTAAATGCTTACTGAATGCAAGTGGTTCTCAGTGTAATATTTAGATGGTAAATTCTTTAGGTCAGGGACTATCTTTTCATTATGTATGTGAAGAGAACTAGCACAAAGGGAGTCCTAAGCCTTGATTGGGTCTTCTAGTTGTTACTGCAATAAAAATATTCAATGCAAACAATAATATCCAAGGACGTGTACTTCATGAAAAGCTTGATGATTCAGCAAATCACCTGCGCAGCATACTGGAGATCAACTTCAGATAAATTTTAAATTTAAGCTTTTTTCTGAATTAAACTTGAAAATGAGTAGTCCAATCAGTGAGACAAGGTGGGTGAGGTAATATCTTTTATTGGACCAACTTCTGTTGGTGAGAGAGAGAATCTTTTGAGCTACGCAGAGCTCTTCTTAGGGTCTGGGAAACTAACATGGCTACAACAGCACTGCATACATAATACAATCAGTGTAATAGTCCATGTGTTATAAATTTGATATTAAATTCTATGTACGCTGGTCCAGATCTTCAAAGATCTTTAGGTGCCACACTCACCTAATTCCCATCAAAATCGATGCACCCAAATACCTTTGAGGATCTGGGCCTCTGTTCCTAAATTTGTAACACAGGAAAATTCTGCAGCACTCTGAATTTAAACCACAACTGCAATGTACAGGTTGTCAGAAGAAACTGGAGGTTTTGGCAGATGGGGTTTTGGCTCTCACAAAAGAGTGTAAAGATGATTTGGGATTTCCCATGTAAACATCTGAATGTGAAATTGATTAATTTTAAAACTCCCAAGTGGTGAAATTGACCAAAATGGACCATGAATTTGGTAGGGCCCTTGTAATAGTTAATATTGATATTTAATTGCCATCATGTTTCAGAGTTAACACCCCATTCAGATGAATGAGAGTTGTTCCAACTTTCCAGAGCTGCTATTTCAGGCTCTCTGCAGAATCAAGGATATAGAACTGCAACCATTTATGCTTGCCTCATGTTTGGAAGGTTTTCTTTGCAACCATAAACTCTAGAAATTCTCTTCTTTTTAATATAAGATTGCATGCTGAAGCACAATTCTGGAGTAGAGTAAGGATTCTACAGCATACGTCTGTAGAATTATAGAATACATAGGATCATAATATTATCTTGTATGTTGATTTCAGCTGAAGTTTTTGAGTTTGGATTAGTGGCAGTGTGTGGTCTTTATTTTGTAACTTTATAATATCAGGTAAAATTTCTCCCACAAAGGAACGTAAATGCAAATAGTATTACCCATGGAAAAGAAGCCCTTGAGGAATGAGGAACTCTGTCCACATATTTATTCAAGTGACACCACCATAGGACCTAATCACATTAGCCATGCCATCAAGGACTCCACAATGTGATATATGCCATCATGGGCCAGCAATGCCCCTCTGCCATGTACATTGGCCAAACCAGACAGTCTCTACGCAAAAGAATAAATGGACACAAATCTGACATCAGGAATCATAACATTCAAAAACTGGTAGGAGAACACTTCAACCTCTATGGCCACTCAGTTGAAAGATTTAAGGATGGCAATTTTGCAACAGAAAAGCTTCAAAACCAGACTCCAACGAGAAACTGCTGAGCTTGAATTAATATGCAAACTAGATACCATTAACTTGGGTTTGAATAGAGACTGGGAGTGGCTGGGTCATTACACATATTGAATCTATTTCCCTAAGTTAAGTATCTTCACCCTTCTTGTCAACTGTCTAAATGGGCCATCTTGATTATCACTAAAAAGTTTTTTTCTTCTGCTGGTAATAACTCATCTTAACTAATTAGCCTCTCACAGTTTGTATGGCAACTTCCAAACTTATCTGTATGTATATATATATATATATATCTTCCTACTATATGTTCCATTCTATGCATCCGATGAAGTGGGCTGTAGCCCACGAAAGCTTATGCTCTAATAAATTTGTTAGTCTCTAAGGTGCCACAAGTACTCCTGTTCTTTTTGCGGGTACAGACTAACATGGCTGCTACTCTGAAACCAGTATTTTTTTAATCTTTCAATTTTGTTTCAGAATTAAGTAAAGTTAAAGAAGTTGATATAACAAGTAATGCACAAGATTTTCCAGTGCTAATAAATAATTTTACTTTGAATAGTTTGTACAGTGTACAAAATCAAGGGCCTGGTAAGTAGAAAATGTTATGCTTGGTAAGGGTAAAATTATCCAAAAGGTCTAGATTTGTAAAACAGATTTTCCCATATAAGCAATATGATGGAGATATCATGAAAGTGATGCCATTAACTGGGGGTCAGTCTGAAAAAGCAGTTCTCTGTTGGCAGCAATAGTGGAAACCATTTTCTGCTATCAACTATATTAAAAACATTATGAAAGTTGTAAAGTCAAGCACTCAAAGATAGGAAATGCCGAAATAAGGGTTGCCTGTTTAGTGGGGTATTTGACAGCACAGGAGAGACAGTCTCCCTGCTCTCAGTTCCAGTGCCCAGCCCTGGGATCCACTGGGAGCAGCAATTACAGGGAGAGTCCCTCTGAGCCCTGGGCTGGTGCATGCTTAATTGCTCTGTGTGGATGGCAGATGCACAATCGGGTCAGCACTAGGAGCTGTGAGAGGCATAAGCATGGTCAGCGAAGATTGCATCTTCAGAGATTTTAGCTGCTAAAATATGTCTCTAATGAGCATGTGCAAACTGCAGTTTATCAAAGACTTATGATGTGATTAAACTTGGGGGAATTTCCCGAGGGATAGCAAAAGGCACGTTCCTGACACACAGGCCATCCCACTGCCAAATTTCAAGTCCCTACTCCAAAATATGGGGGTGCTACAGCATTTCAAAGAAAACGTCTCAAGAATTTTTTTTACATTTTTCCTAGTCTTATTCTCTGAAATGGCTGAACTGTTTTGGCTGAAACCTATAACTAAACTAACTAACCAGCCCAAATAATTAAAGTATCGCAAAGTTATAAGCAACTAAAACAGGAGCTAATAATAGGAAGCGTCAAGGCAACCTTAATAATAAGCAATGGTATCAGCCCTGCCTAAAATAATAATAAATAATAATGATGATGTTGAAGGGAGGGATGCAGGAAGAATTATGAAGGGAGGAAACATAGCTTTCAAGAAAGGTGTTTCACTCTTTTGTAACCTCCCCTCCTTCAATTTATCTCTTAGCAACTGAATTCCTAACTTAATAAATCTCAGCTGGTAGCTGGAGAGCTGCTTGATTGAGGTGAGCAAGCAATGGATAGGAGCAACAGCAGTAAAAACTGAAGTTCTATACGATCTCAAATCTTTGTGTATGGACACATGCACTTGCTGCTGCTCAGGGTACCCTTCAGTATTGCCTGTTGGGGGAGGCTGATCTCGCTGGCTAGGTCCAAAACTTGGAAGGTGCTCAGTCCCTTCAATTCTAGTTGATGCCCGTGAAGGTCTGATGCTGCTTTGGAACTCCTGTTGCAAAGGGCATATGTAAAGTCTTTGAAAATGGAGCAGATGAGCCACACCAGTTTACACCAGCTGAGGATGTAGATTGATCAATTTTAATTAACAATTGTGAATGAAATTTATTCTCTCTCTGTTTTTCAACTTTTCTGAGTGGGATAGTGCTCCAGTAGTAGACCCTCTAGAGATTTGGGGACAGGGGAATGACCAGAATTTTCCTGTTGAAAAGTCTAATCCCTGGATAATCAAAATGTTTTTTTACACAGCAAATGATTTTTTTGTTGATGTAAAGCCAATACATTAACCAAATCATAGCACTGATTTTCATTTTCACCAAATCAATTTTCAAAAATTTAATATTAAACATTGTACATTTACAGATTTGACAACGAATAGTATGAAACAAACAAGTAGTCATTCACCATTTTCTGAAGAAACTTATCCAACAGAGAGCAAACCAACAGGTTAGGAAAAAGATATTTTTAAAAAAATTGTATGTGTTTTCCCCCTTCAGAAACATTGTATCATGAAGAGCTTGACTATTTAACAACATTTTCCATCCCTGAATATTTCCTACCACAGAAACTGTGAAAATTGGTTCTACTTCCAGTTAATCAGTAGTCTGCTACAGGAAGCCTATTAAAACTTCTTGTACTTGGCTCAAAATTATAAAACTTTGCAGAGGGGACAGAGAAGGGTATCTCATTCATAGAGAAGCCCATATGTTCCCTTTTATGGCATTTTCCCCTATAGCTACATATGTTTTTTTCAGCCTTAATTGCAGCTTAAAGTTTCCTCTGGGAATTTTGTAGAGATATGATTAAGTCACACAAGGAATTTTTGTGACAAAGGTGTTACTACAATTTGAGTAGGGTACCTATCTTTTGGGCTGCCACAGTGGGTGTAGGATAGAGATTTGGAAGCTGTTCTCCTAAAGCCTCCCTTTTTTGTTTCTCTTAAATACTGGTGTGTTGTTGTATTTGGTTATGAAGAGGAGCAATTTTCCCATTCATTGGAAGGAATTTTGCCCTCTAGAACCACCTCCTCCCATTGTTGCTCTGTAACCATAGTTGACGGAGAAGCCTGTTTCTGAGATCAGTGATGGAATATATAGCAATATAGAGATGCTTCCACCACCATCTCAGTGGTAGCAGACAGAGGCAAATTGCTAATAAATATAGCTTACTTTTCCTGAGACATGTCAGCATCAAAAGTGTCAATAAATCAGGGAAGAGTTTATTTGTGTTTGGCATTTATTTAGTTTAGGATTCCTTCATTACTTCAAGCAGAAAACAACCTCAGTATGTTATCCAATTAGTGTACATGGTGTTAAAACGTAAAGATAAATTTGCAAATTATACTAATGTAACCCAGAAAACCTAACATTAAGCCCTACCTAACATCATTGCGTTTACTGTAGGAAGTTGCCCACCATATGTACAGAAGTACAGTAGGCTGAATTAACGTTTAAATGGCAGTTTTACCTTTCACAGGCGAATGGGCGTTTGTACAACTGAAGTGCTGTCATAAATATAAAGGGAAGGGTAAACCCCTTTGAAATCCCTCCTGGCCAGGGGAAAGCTCCTCTCACCTGTAAAGGGTTAAGAAGCTAAAGGTAACCTCGCTGGCACCTGACCAAAATGACCAATGAGGAGACAAGATACTTTCAAAAGCTGGGAGGAGGGAGAGGGACAAAGGGTCTGTGTCTGGCTGTGTGCTGCTCTTGCCAGGGACAGAACAGGAATGGAGTCTTAGAACTTTTAGTAAGTAATCTAGCTAGGTATGTGTTAGATTATGATTTCTTTAAATGGCTGAGAAAAGAATTGTGCTGAATAGAATAACTATTTCTGTCTGTGTACTTTTTTTTGTAACTTAAGGTTTTGCCTAGAGGGGTTCTCTATGTTTTGAATCTAATTACCCTGTAAGATATCTACCATCCTGATTTTACAGGGGGATTTCTTTATTTCTATTTACTGCTATTTTTTATTAAAAGTCTTCTTTTAAAAAAAACTGAATGCTTTTTCATTGTTCTCAGATCCAAGGGTTTGGGTCTGTGGTCACCTATGCAAATTGGTGAGGCTTTTTATCCAACATTTCCCAGGAGAGGGGGGGGTGCAAGTGTTGGGAGGATTGTTCATTGTTCTTAAGATCCAAGGGTCTGGGTCTGTAGTCACCTAGGCAAATTGGTGAGGCTTTTTACCAAACCTTGTCCAGGAAGTGGGGTGCAAGGTTTTGGGGAAGTATTTTGGGGGGAAAGACGCGTCCAAACAGCTCTTCCCCAGTAACCAGTATTAGTTTGGTGGTGGTAGCGGCCATTCCAAGGATAACGGGTGTAATATTTTGTACCTTGGGGAAGTTTTGACCTAAGCTGGTAAAGATAAGCTTAGGGGGTTTTTTCATGCAGGTCCCCACATCTGTACCCTAGAGTTCAGAGTGGGGGAGGAACCTTGACAAGTGCAATATATTGTTTTTATCATCTTGTGCTGCATTCCCCCCCACCCTTTTTTCCCCTCTTTTCTTTCACGCATTTTAGAAGCCTTTTAATGAGAAACGGATATGACAGGCAAGTTTAATTTTTCATCCCATTTTTACAATAGCAGTGGATGTCACATAAGAATTATAGCTTCAGATGGAGATTACAACACTTCCTTCAGGATGTCAAATCCCAACCTTATGGGCTTCCAGTTCCAACAGACAGCTTTGAAAATCTTAGCCTGAACACGTTCCCCATATATTTTACATATTTATATTCTAATAAGGGACAGTCCAGCTTTTGACTGAGCTCTGCAAGAAAGGAAAATTAAGATAATTGGACTCAGTAGAAATTATGACCAGTGCTTTTTAAATTCTGTTTTATTTTCTTTCCTATGAACTACTGGCAACTAGTGGTTTTATTACTCTCAAAACTAAGTAGAAAAGTGTTCTGCCTGAATGTTTACCACTGAGAAATCCTGACTGCCATCTCCAGAGTGTCTCTGACACTCTAGTGTGGCTTGTTCTGCCATCGTTGTAAGCTGCCAATCTAACAATCCTGTTTTTATTTCTGTCTACAGAACATTCTTCCACTGAGCCATTGCATTGGTGAAGCCATTTAAATTTTAGTTTTGTTATCACAGTGTTCTCGCAGAAGCCCTAAAATCCATTTGCAGCTACTCATTGTATAGCACCTACCACTTTACTAGCTACATAATTAAATCATTCCAAAAGATATTTTCATCCTCATTTTTGATTGGCAAAAGTACTATTCAGAGATCTGTTCACTACAATTAAAGTATGGAAGAATTGACCACAAGTGTTTTCATATGTTTGTTTGCAGATCTGCCTGAATCGGCTACTTTTCCATTGCGTCAGTTGAACCATATTTTACAGACGCTGGAAGATCACATGGGTAAATCTAAATATTTATGGTATAACTTTTTAAATATAAAATTCAATCGCTTTCTAGTAACTTAATGTTTTTTTATAGGTGTTCAAACATATAATTTCCAAAGTGTAAAAGGAATCCATTCTCAAATGTCAGTGAGGATGCTGAAGAATGTATTACAGGATTTACAGAAAGAATATAGTATGTATAGTATGTATATTTCACTCTCCATTAATCTTTATATTTTATATTATAGCATTGTTATTTTATGGATGAACACAGTTTAAAATACTGGAAACAGAGAGGATCAAATCCTCCACTGATGTAAATTGGTGAAGTGCCACTGAAGTCATTATCGATTTACATCAGCTGAAGATCTGGTACGAGACCTCTATCTTCAGTTCAGTTTTAACTTGGGCTACAGCCAGATGCTATATAAACTTCACACAGTGTAAGAGGTATTGGTAAATAACATTATTAAAATCCAGAAAATATGAAATAGTGTGCTGAATGCCTCCAATAACCAGGATAAGAGACAGGTTTCAGAGTAGCAGCCGTGTTAGTCTGTATTCGCAAAAAGAAAAGGAGTACTTGTGGCACCTTAGAGACTAACAAATTTATCTGAGCATAAGCTTTTGTGAGCTACAGCTCACTGCATCCGATGCTGTAGCTCACGAAAGCTTATGCTCAAATAAATTTGTTAGTCTCTAAGGTGCCACAAGTCCTCCTTTTCTTTTTTCAGGGTAAGAGGCAAACGTTACCAGATAAGAAATGTAACTACGTTTACATTTCTTGAACAGAGAGAAAAAGGCATGCAAAACAAATAGCCATCTACTCTTTTAAGAACTTACAAATAAAGGCCCTGATCCTGCAATTGCTTATGTACCTGCTTAAGCTCAAGCACATGAACAGTCCCATTGATTTTAATAATGATTTCAATAGATACAATCAATGGGACTTATTAATGGCTTAAAGTTAAGTAGATAAATAGGTGATTGCATGATCAGGGGCTTATTTATTAGCCCTAAACTATGTACACAATGTAATTTAAAAAAAGAAAGCCTGCTGTAAAAAAGCTCCCTCAAATGCCATACCAAACGTATTGGTGGCTATAGTATGTACACACATAAAAACCCTGCCGCCACTGAACTTAGATCACAAGTACATTTCACATAGGCCTAGAGCTGGTGCTAGGGGCATGCAAAGAGAGCAGATGCATGCAGCACCCTATTTAGTAGCCCAAGCAATTAAACAAATAGGAAGGTGCTAGGAGGTGAAACCTCCTGTTAGGGAAGTGCCTGAAGAAACTGATGCCTCTCTCAGCAGTTCTCACACTTCCTCTGGAAAGAGGCAGAGCAAGCATTGTGTAGACCACTGAACAACCAGTCATCAGCTAGTATGCTGTGTTCAGTTTAGTGATAGAAGAGGCGCCATGCCCTGTTGCCATTGAGTTTACTGGCTTATCGATCCTACTATTATTTCTGCTTTTAGAATTGGATCTGAGAAGTCATTACAGTAGAACAATGGGTAAATGCTTTTCTTTTTCAAGTACCTTTTCCAACACTAGAAAGAATTCACCTCCTCATACACATTTGTGACATTGAAAAGTATAGTATAACCACGCTCTGCTCAGGGTAGCCCTTCTTAAATAAATATTATTAAATCCTGGGGAAAAACACTGAAAACAGACACTAAATACTGAGTAGAGAACAAAAAGAAAAGGAGTACTTGTGGCACCTTAGAGACTAACCAATTTATTTGAGCATGAGCTTTCGTGAGCTACAGCTCACTTCATCAGATGCATACTGTGGAAACTGCAGCAGACTTTATATATACACAGAGAATATGAAACAATACCTCCTCCCACCCCACTGTCCTGCTGGTAATAGCTTATCTAAAGTGATCATCAGGTGGGCCATTTCCAGCACAAATCCAGGTTTTCTCACCCTCCACCCCCCCACACAAATTCACTCTCCTGCTGGTGCTAGCCCATCCAAAGTGACAACTCTTTACATAATCAAGTCGGGCTATTTCCTGCACAAATCCAGGTTTTCTCACATCCCCCCCACCCCCATACACACACAAACTCACTCTCCTGCTGGTAATAGCTCATCTAAACTGACCACCTGAGTAGAGAACGTTGCTTTAATGGATATTTTGCCTGAGTAAAGACTTCAGGAGTTGGCCCTGAGAATACAGAACAAAGACTCACTAGTAAAAAATAAAAATGAAAATACAAAGAAATATACAAAACCGAAGAATAAAAGAAAGGAAATAAAATATTCCTGGGCCTGATTTATTAATATCTTCAAAGGGTCGTTCGTTACGGATTAGGTTGAGAACACTAATTCCCCAAGTTGCATGTAAGCAATGAAATACAACAGTACTGCAACTTGTCAATGCAATACTTTTGAGTTTACAGGAGTAAAAACATTTTTAAAATAAACATTTCCTCCCCACCCTTGTTGTTATAGAAACACAGGTGCCTGTATCAGTTAGTGAGAGTATGAACTCTTCAGTCATGGAAAGCATTCTTCAAAATTTAAAAAAACATAAAGGTAAGGGAAATGTGGATTGATTGCACATAGAAAGAAAATAGCAAACCAACATGCATGTTAATAGGGATGTAATTACAGTAGCCCTTGACTATTAGAAATCTGCTTCCAACAAGTTTCATTTTCAGATTCAAGGCTGACAAGTGTAAATGTCCTTCTAAGATAGTAAGTATTTTAAAAGCTACATAAGAGAAAAAACATGTTTTGAAGTTTTTACTGAAGCAAGTTAAGAATATACAGCATTCCTAACAAAAGCTCATCACATGTAATTTCCAAGGCCATCAGTTAAAATAGGCCCTGATACAGGAAGGTACTAAAACACTGGCTATCAGTTAGAGAGAGCCTTCTCAACCCCATCATTCAGAGGTATCAGAAGAGACACCACTTCCCCAGCATCACTCCCTGGCACCCCCACTACAGTGTTTATAGCAGTGGTGGTGGTTTAGGTTTGGGGGCAGAGTCCATAGGGCTGGGTGATCTCAGAACAAGTTTGTTAATGTTCCTCAGGAAGCAAGTAGTGCCCACAACTATGGAGGCTGGCCAGGCATGGCTCTCACTTTGGCTTATTATGATCATATCAAAATTCATGGACTGTAAAGTATTCATTCACATAACTCTTGGGGTTTCAAGCATAATTTGGTGTCTTCACAGCGTATTTTACATTATGTATTATTTTAAAAGTGCGCTAGGAAAAGTAGCTTCACACAGGAGTAATGGTTTGTGTTTTTAATTTGGTTTTGAAACTTAATTGCGTAAGGGACAATGATTATTTACATTCAGAGAGCACTCTCAGCCCTGCTTAATCTCCTGCCACTTGTCACTTAAATTCATGTCACTTTAAGTATCCATGAATGAGTCTTTCTCCCAAGGGAAAATGGCTCAGAACTGCGTATGGGCATGTGCTGCCTGATGTGCACTCCCCTGATGGAAACCTCAGCAGTGAAGACAATGGAGAATGGACCCTGAATGTTAATAAACTAGTTAGTTAATCCCAAACCATCTATCTGCAAGAGGCAGAGAGTGAGCAAGGTGGGGCACTCCATCTTTTCTGCCCCATTCCCACCCAGCTGCTGAAAAGAGGGCTCTACCCTCTCATTCCTGGCTGCTGGGAGGAAAGGGAGGCTTTCTGCTACTGTACCCTGGCAGCTGTCTTCTGCCCTCTCTATGACTGGGGGCAGAGACGTTTTGGCAGTTATAGCATTGCTAGGCATTTTGACTGAATGCTGGAGCTGTCCATCTGCCTGATCTATGGGCATGGGGCAGAGCAGGGAGTGCTGCTGTGATTGTCACTGCTATAGCTCTGCCTAGATACGAGCAAGTGGAGTATCATTCAGTGATAGCAGCAGCAGGACTCAGGGTTTGCAAAAGCCAGCAGGTGGCAGACACAATGGGCCCTTTCAGAGTGCAGGCCCTAATTACAGGCCATCACTTCTAGCTTCCCTCCACTACTCGATATATTGTTAGCTACTATTTATTTTCTTAGAATTTTTACTGTCATAGATTCAGTTTCTACTTTAAGGGACAGCTCCAGCATGACCCAATATGCTAAAAGAGTCACAATTGAAGACATTAACTTTTTTATGCAAGATGTTATACAATAGATCTCTAAAGACAGGAATCTGATGCCATTTGTAGTGAACACTGTAGAGTTGAATCAGCCTGGGGACAAAGAAAACAAAAAATGTTTTATGATAGATAGTTTATCATATATACTGTAACTATTTGCCTTGTACTTGTATCCTTCCTACTAGAAACAATCTGTTTTTAAAGGGGGTACCTAACAAGAGAGAGCTTTCATTCTGTGGAATTTCCTTAAATTAAGCAAATTTTAATTAACAGGGAATAACAGAAATATTTGTTGTGCTATCCTTCTGCTTGCAAATTATTCTGTATTTGAAACACTAGATGCTAGCAAGTCCTTCTGTGATTAGTATGTACAAAAAAAATATCTTTCAAGGGACAATTAATTTTCCCCCTAAAACATTTATACTAATCTAGTTCTCTCATTATTGGACCAAATTCATCCCTGGAGTAACTTCAATGATGTCAGTATTATTACTCTAGAAATAAATTTGACCCAAACATTTTTAAAAAGTCATTCTATAATGGTTTCTTTATGAACCAATTTTTTAAATTATCAAAGCTGAGATTTGAAGTTCTCCGTGTTGGACCTTTGTTCCTTAAGGCACCATAGTTGCCAAGCCATTCTCTCTCATTGCAGCTTCAGAGACAAAGTGCAATCCTACAAAGTTCCAGCAGGCTGCTGAACTGTTGGGCATTAAAACTAAGGCAGGATTAAGGCAATTCAGGGCCACACTTTTTGGCCAGGACCCTTCCTCCCACTTGAAGTGGTAGTGGTTGAGGGCCCGTCTCCCAGAGAGGCAGGGATATGGAGCCCCCTTCCTCCCTTCCCTGCTCCCCCCGCGCAGGAGCAAGAATAGGGTTCTCCCCCTCCACTTAGGAGTAACAGGATTGTTTTGATGGGTGGTCTTGCCCAGAACAGTAGGGCTTAGAGCTAACATCCTACGGTGGGTAATTTTAGACTGCAGGCACTGGCTGCAATTGCAGCTCAAGCAAACATATTTGAGCAAGCTTTATTCTAGCTAATGCAGGTCTTGGATCAGCAGGGCTGTGGCAGCACGAGCT